ACCATATATTTTTATTTTTTCTTTAAAGATTGACGAGGCAAATGATAGAGCCTATTTTTATTCTAGATTTGATTTGTCTAGATTGGAAAGAGTTTATCAATATCCAAAAAATTCAGACAAATGAGTTTGATCAATGATAAAAATAAAAACGATTTGTATTAAAAAACTAACTATTATTAAAATAATACTTGAAAAGTTTAAAAATAAAAACGTTCGATCGAATTCCAGGGTCGGAGACAAAAATTGTTTGGAACTTTCACTTTTATGTAATTACTAGGGGGCTTCGCCCCCTGCGCGCTCCGCGTCCAACCCCCCAAACTTTTTTGATTATACATATTTCTAATAATTATTTCATCTAAGTCTAATGACTAAATTTTAAAAATAAATTTAAGTTCAAACGAATAAAATGACCTCGATTAGCTAGCGTTGTCTACTTAATCTCATATGTCTCACGACCAATCAGATCACGACATATTCTGTCGACAGTCACGTGATACTCATTCTTTTAGGATAGAAATACTATAAAAAAAAATAGACAAACGAGATGAACTTACGACGCTCCAGAGCCGGGCAGTACGATCGGTCGCAACGCTGCCGAGTATCTCGCCGTGAACGGGCGAGAATCTGACACACATGACGTTACCACCGTGCCCGGAAAATTGACGCCTCTCGCGGTACGATAGTCCAGGACTGCTACTCCCGGTGCCTTCGTCCAACTCGAGGTCGTCGTCGATCACGATGATTTTCCAGAGCTTGATCAGCGAGTCGTTGCCACAGGTGGCCAGCATGTAGCACTCCCGGGCGCGACCCGAACTGGCGTCCCTCGATCCTATTTTTTATGGAAATTCATTTCACCTCGAATAATATCGAAGAATAATTTGTTCCGATTATTTTTTCAGACAGCGATTTAAAATTACGTAGTTTGAAAAATTTAGTTAAGAGAGTATTTTTCTTCTATTCATTCAGATGATGTTATGTTTTTTTTTTTAATAACATTGAATGATTCCTTTTTTGAATACAAATATTGAAAGGTTTTTTTTTTTTTTTTT